GGATAAACTGCTAGTACTGGTGCAAAGTCAGTAGGGTACCAGCGAGCTGCAAAAAAAAACACACACACAGACACATGAAATCCCTGTGCTGCTGTAGACACTAACCTGGTTTGATGATTGGGTGTGAAAGATAAGAGTGCCCCCTGCAGGCTGGTGGTGCGCTGCAAGTTATCACTGTACTGGCAGAGTCAAAGTCCAGGTTGCGGTTTTAGTGCAGTGGATGATTCATGTCCCTGGCCTTAGCCCCTCCCATTATGATCTTTTTTTTATTTTTTTTTTTATTTTAAACCCGGACACACACTCACACACACTCTCCTTAAAGCTCATCTCGCGTGTGAAACATGGTCTGTGTTATGTTGGAGTTCCGGGTGTGGGTGCAGCACCCCCCCCCTCCCCCCCCATGAGGGGTGTCCTTCAATGTCCTTTTCTTGGAGCCCATGATGTCGCATCCCACGCGATGCAGTGTTTGTCTTGGAGTCAGGGGCGCTCGTGCCATTCACCCAACCCCCACCCCCCCCCCGTCCACACTTCAGCTCTTATTCATTAGCCGTGTCCTCATTCGACTTGCTGCTCCCTTACACATTTTAAGCACCTTGACGAAGGGCAAGACAGCAGGACTCCCAGGGACCCAAACCGCCAACTTTTGGGTTACAAGATCGACTTCCTAGCTTGGCGCCGCCCCTGAGCGTCTCCTCAACGCCGTAGCGCCATCGGCTGCAGGCTTCTTTGAGAAGCAGCAGTGATTTGCCCCCCCACCCCCACCCCACACACACACACTGCAGTAAGGATTTTTTATAGAGCACTGGAGCATTGTACAAATTGGAATTTTAATTAAGTTTTATCATGCCGTTTTGATTTGCGGCCAGTGCTGGGTTTACTCTGTAGAATCTCACCTATGGCATTTATTGTTGACATCCTTGTGTCTGCCCTGTAGAAAAGTCTGCTTTTCCCCAGCATACGTCCACCATAAAACCTATTTTTTTTTTTCTTTTGATTGCTTATTTAATTTTTTAGCGCAAAAAAAAACATTGTTCGGTTCGTATGCGTTCACCCAGGATTGTCTAACAGCTGCATCATGCCGTGCATGCGTGCATGCATGCATATCTGTATGCATCTTCCGTATGCACGTTCTGCGTGCGCTTACCCTTGACTCTCTGTGGAGTACCTCGGCATTTCCCTGCTCCCTGCTAGAGTTGCGTCCCGCACACCTTGCAGCATGCGCCCACGGAGAGAAGGCTGCATTAATCTGCTAGAAGTGCATTGGGCCACAAGGTGCTGTAGCACGGTTCGACAACAGAAGTTTGATGTGTGCTCTGGGGTTTTTCCCCTGCTGTCCCCTATTTAACCTTGCTCTGTTTTTATTACTTTAAGTAATGAACGCCTGCCTGCCATAGAATCACGGACATTTTCATGAGTTATGGGCCTGATGACTCAGAGGCAGATCGCTGGAGTTTGCCATCTCACACATTTGGCTTTTTTTTTTTTTTTTTTTTTTTAGTGGAATGAAAAGTGGAACTTTTGCAAGAGACGTTACAAATAGGATGTCTGCCGACTGAGGGTTTTGTTAACCTCGAAGCCTTTGGCTTCATGCTTAGGAACGGCACAGCTTCACACACTGCATTTATTTATTGCAGTGGGGAGGCCCCCCAGCCCCCCGGACCTGGACGGCTACAGTCATTTTGCCGCAGATGCGAGTTTTTCTTGCGGGGGGTGTGTCCTCGGTGAGGGGCTGCAACCTCTCGTCACGGTAGCCATTCGCTGGACCGATCTAATTGGTTAAAATCAATGCATGAGATTTTTTTCCCCCCTCTCATGATTGGCCAACTTTATTCAAAGTACAGTCATCAGAAAACTGCTTTGCATTACATTCATTCCATACCCGCATTTATATGTTTAAAGTGCTGACAGACCTGTCGTCTGTCTTTCAGCTTTTCTGAGGTCTGAAACGTTTCGTAAACGAGAAATTGGTAACTGAGGAAAAAGTCCAGAAATTACTGCAGTTAATCCATAAATGCTAACACAGTGGAATTGTTACTGTACTTTGATTACACTACAACATGCTTCATTTTGGGCTAATTATTTGTTGAAATTAATTAACCAGGACTAATCCCCATGCCTGTTTACTCAGTTGGCCCTATTTAACTGATTATGTATCTTGTTAAACTAGCAACGGTTAGCATAAAAATAGCCCTGGATCGTCGCCCAAATACTAAATTGTATTTCCTCGTCTCACTGCCCTGCAAGCCCACATACTGCAGTACGGTGTCATGTGACTGGGTATTAGCAGTGCTAGCGGCCGTATGCGAACTCGTACTTGACTGAGATGTATTTTTTTGGCTGGACTCTGGGGTGTCTTCAGGCTGCGCTGGCCTACGTGCCTCCTAGCTGCTACATAGTCATTTTGGGTGGGGTATCCTGCAGTCCGGGGAATACCTTGACGACGTCGCAGTTGGCACAGAGCGCTGGGAGCAGAGCTGCCCTTAAGTGTGACCCCTAGTCCGTCGCTCCCCCAGGTTTTCCCCATGTTTGGTTGCCCTCAGAGGAACCTCCAGGTTTTCCCCATGTTTGGTTGCCCTCAGAGGAACCTCCAGGTTTTCCCCATGTTTGGTTGCCCTCAGGCAGTCCAGGCAGATTGGATGTATTATGAAAGGCATCACTTTCCCATAAAGCTGTGGGGCAAAGGACACCAAAGAAAATTAAACGTGAAACAGCCTCGAGCTCAGGGGAGGAAGTGGACAAAATCCCTTTAAATGCCTTAACCGTGTTTCTGGATCTACTCCGAGTGCCACCTTGGGCCGGGGCGGATTACAGACTATTGGGTCTGTTTTCCGATGTTCCTGTGGTTTTTTGGGGGCGGCCGTATACAGACGTTTCATTGCAGCGTCCGACAGAAGACCGAAGAGCACTGGAAGCTTGGCTGAGGGTGCATATTTACAGAACGGCTGCTTTTGGGTTTAAATCCCTAAAGCCTCTCTCGCTGCAGAAATACGCCAAAGAGAATCCATAATGTACGGCCCAGCTTCTGGCTGCTCATGTACATGCCGCTTCTGATCCTATTGCTTTACCGGAAACGGTGCCATCATTGTGGCGCCGTTAAGTACTAATAAAGATGGCCCTTTTTTGGAGTCTCACATTCCCACATTCCACCGTTCTGCAGATGAAACAGAGGAATAAATGATTAAAGTTGATGGTGGGTGGGGCTGGGCTTGAATTAAAAATCTGCTCGGGTGTTTGGGGCCCCCTACGATAAATTCTGCTGGCCCACAAACCCTTCGGCCCACTGGAAAATGCCCGGTATGCCAGATGGCCGGCCCAAGCCTGATGGCAAGGGTGGGGTGCAATTTTGAGCCCCAACTCATCGACTGCAAGTCTC